GGCCCTGGCCGCCCGCCTGCTCCAGTTGCCTCGGCGGGGCGCACGCCGCTGGCGTTGCCGTCTCCTTGGCGGAAAACAGCGACAAAGATTTTAACTCGAAGCAACTAAGTAAAATCACAGTGCAGACGAAGTAGTTTAACGTCTTCACGTGCTCTGAGCGCACGCATTTTCCGTGTGTCGGAGATGGCCTGTACCTGATTGTGCAGACGCCTTCGGGGTTTGCACTGAGTCAGGACTAAGCAGGACTGCTGCTCAGAGCGCTCGCAGCTCACTCTCTTCCCGCTTCTTATTCTCAGTGACTAAAGTCTACCTTCTTCCATTTTGCAGACAGGAAAATGTGGGTCTGCTTCCTGAGCCTTGTGCTAGAGACAAAAACAGCTTAGGTTTTGTAGCTGTTAACAGGCTTGCAGATGAGAGAATGGCTCCAAAGTATGTGAGAAAACATGTATTACAACCATTAAAAGTTAGTTGCAGAAGTCTAAATTTTTCATCGATTTACCATGGCTCTCTCTGCAAGTTGTTTCTCAGGGGGATACTTACTGTAATTCCTAAGAGGGGGAGAAAGACATCTGATTCTTCAAGCCTGTTTCTCCAAATGAACTGTGGGTTAATTTGATATGCAATGCAACAGAAACTCAGGCTTGTATTTTCTTGTGGCAGTTTTTTTCATCTTCTCTCTGAAAATCTGTTTTCCATTTGCTAATGATCCTGAAGCCATCCATTCTTACATATTTGAACAACTTAAAGTAGTATCTTTTGAGAAACTATCTCTTCTTTGACTCTTAAGACATCATTTAACAGACAATAACTAGACTGCAAAGAAATATGTAGTATCTCTTCAGGCTATTCTATAATCTTTTTCCCCTACGTGCATGTGTGCCATTATATCGTACAAAATACTTCTAAGTACATGGTTTTTATTTCCTTTCTAAAATCTTTAAAATAGCTCACTATACTTTTAGCTTTTTCAATTTTTATTTTTTCTGAGGAAGTTTAAGTATGTCAGGGATTGGATGAAAATTGTCACTCATAAAAATACCAAATTAGGCATAATAATTACTAATATAATTGCTGCATCACTCAAAATATATCTATAATTCTAATTTCTTTTATCTGTTATTTGGAGTATGTTTCCTGCCAGAGGGAAATCTGTGTTTGATTTCAGCACACGTGTTTGTTTAATTATGGAAATGCCACACAGCTGCTCTTACAATGCAACAGGGTTTTCATACCTGTATCCTCTTTTTTTTTTTTTTTTTTTTTTTTCCCTTTCCAACTGCAAATAGCAACATTGGAAATATACAGCTGGTACAGCGAGGTTGTGTTCTGAAAAGTGTCTCAAAATTCTTCTACAGTTCTTACAACTTCCAGAACAGACTTCTTCAGGCCTGGATGATAGCCAGAGATAGGTTTCTACATGTGCATGTATAAAACCACTGACTTCAAAATTTTAAATATCTGCATTTCCTTGGTTGTGGAAAAATAATGCTTAGGCTGTTTTTTTATTGAAAGTCAAGTCCAGTTCCTCACTTCTGCAGAAGCAAGCTTAAATATGTCTTGAATAAAGAGGCGCTTCATTAGAAAACAGAAAATCAGTCTAAAGACATTATAAGAGTGCTAACTCTGTAGTCTACATTGAATAAGAGATTGTCATAGTGCGTATTTCTGTATCTTTGTGAAACTGTATGTATATATCAGGTTTACCGAAATAGCTCAATTATCTCTGTATTCGAAAAGTATCACATCTAGTTGACCTTAAATTTAAAAAAAATACGAGTTAGGCTCTCAGTTTGTCTTCACATGGACAACTAAAAAAAAAAAAAAATGTCCCATATGATGTAATAATCAGGCAATTACATCAGCAGGTAGTTCAGATGATCAATTCTTAATGTTCACAGGATCAAAAGTCTCAAGTAAAACCTCTGAAAATCATATAGTGTGGATATCAAGTCCTCAGCAACAACAGATGTGTTGTATCTCTTTAGTGAGTGTACATACAGCCCAAGAGCATCAAAATACAAAAATTTTTGTAATGTGATAAAATATCCAGAATGTTTTCTGGAAATCTTTTCATCCATTCATCGCAGAGTTTATTCGGTACACTTGCTTTCAAGCAGTGAGCAATATTATGGTGACTTTATTTGGGTTTTAAGATGCAGTAAGAAGATTCTAAAACAG